AGCCAAAAAAAGCTCATTTCTCTGGTTAAAGATACCCAAAGTTTTTGTATACGTGTCATTAAAATTGTCCAGGCAGCACGACTGTGTTTGAGGAAGAAGTTTCCAGTAGAGCGAGGGTTTGGGTTGCCTGTGGACTGGGAGGGGCTCTGGGAGTGCTGGTCGCCATGGGAACCAGCACTCCACCGCCAACGCCCGCCCAAGTGGCTGCTGTTCCAAAAGTTGGTTCCTGAGTGGAGGGGGCTGCCTAGAACCTCGGAGCCATTGCCCCTGGAAACAGTGTTCTGAGTGATGGGTGATGAGCCACACAGGCCTCCGGTGGGGCTGAGATGACAGCAGGGCCAATGATGGGGGAGCCTCCAAGTGGACGAAATGAGAGAGGGAGGGAGGAGGGATGGAGGGAATCTTTCCTGGGAATAAAGTCAGCAAGGCACAAGAACAAACATTTAAGCACCTTCTCTGAGCTGGGAACATCTCATAATTTTAATTCCATGCTTAGAGCAATCCTGCAAAGTATTTTCCAATTATTTCAAAGTAATTTTTCCAATTTGACAATAAACTATTTGTAAGAAAAAAAAAAGTAATTTTCTAACTAGTCCCATTTCACAAATAGGAAACTGGGGCTGTGAACAGTAGCTTGCCCAAGGTCCCTCACCTGGTCAGGAGGAGAGTATCTAGCATAGAAAACTGGTGGAGGAACTTTAAAGAGAGACCCTAGGTCCACCTTACACCACCTTCCCACCTCAGAGGGGCCATCCATGAGCCACAAAAGGTAAAGAACTGACATTCTAGAATGATCTCTAAGACGATCTAGAAAGAGCTCTGAGCTTCTAGTTGAGCAGGCTGGAGAGGAAGGGGGTCTTGTGAATCTAAGCATTTTGCTCCTTAACCACCAACCAATTTTTTATTCTGTGGTGACTTGCGTCATAGCCTGTGGTGACTTAAAAAAAAAATCTTTCTCGTTAGCACTCGAGTCCAGCCTATTTTGTAGGAGTGTGGTGCATGCACTTACAAGGACATCACTGAGTCAGGGATTATTTGGGGGGAGGTTGAAGCCTGGAAAAACATGCCCGTTAGGAGAAGAGCCTTTAGAATTGGGGGAGGAGGAGTTCTGGACTCATTCTCTTGTCCCCGCAGCACCTTCTTTTCTTCCTGGGTCCACACTTGCTTTCAGAAGGGCTTTTCTATGTGATTGGTCTGACCTGGTAGGAGGAGGGAGACAGTCCTAACTCCTGGCTGGGAGGGTTGCCTCTTAGCCCTGTGCATGGTCAGGGCCAATGCTGTGGCTAGCAGGTGGTCTGATAGTTGTTCAGAAATGCCGGCACTGAGTCTCTAATTCCTTTGGCCAGACTTTTGCTCCTTGCTGATGCTCTGCTAGGCTTTGGTGATACAGAGAGGGACAAGATAGAGTTCCTGCCTTTTGTGCACATTAAGTGGACTTCAAGCATGCTCGTGCCCTCTGCACAAGGAACTACAGGGCACAGACTAGAAGGTGATGCCTCCCATAAGAAGGGATTCCCGGGCCCAGGCCTGACCTGTGAAGAGGTGTGTGCTCCCCGAGGGGACCCTAGGCGTCTGTAGAGGCCTCTGTATGACCACAGAGCACACTGGGTAACACAAAGCTGGTCGAGAGAAGGAGAGAGTAGAGTGTGAGACGTTGTGGCATAGCTACTGCTGGAGAGGTCATAGTACTGGCAACCAGTAACAGCCTCAAGTGTCCAGTGAAGGAGCCGGAACTTGGCCCATCAGCTATGAACAGCGCTAAAGAGTCCTTTTGTCACAAAAGATCCGGTCCAAGTTTTGTGCTAACTGTGCATTCTAACCCACTTTCATTGAGTCTTAGTTGGGAGGGAACCCTGAGTTGGCTGCCTGTGGTCTCTTGGGAGCTTGCCCCCTGAGCACAGGACTCTGTGAAAGGAAGGAGCCCTTCATCTGACCGTTTCCTGCCAGCTGCCTTGCTTGGCAAGCAGGTCCCCAGGTAATTCTCCTGTGGGTGGTCTGAGCACCACCTCAAAGATTCAGTTCATGTCCTCGATTATACTTACTAGTGTATTTCTTCTCTTGTTTCATTTTGAGAAGAGAATCAGGAGAAAGAATTTTCCTTCTTGATACCTTCCCACCTACTGAGTACTTTTTATTCATGTCGCCAGCAGAGAGTGGAAGGGAGCTCTTTAAAAAGAGCCTTTTTCACAGGCAATATGGTCAACCTGGCCCAGTGACACTGTCCACCCACGGCCAAGACGATGGGTAAGGAGGGGCAGTGAGGGGACCATGCTGACACCTGGCTCCCAAAACCTGAGAGGCAAAGGAGAGCGGGAGCTGGCCCTTGCCCTCTCCCCATTCCTGTTTTCTTCAACTGTCCAGGAGCCTCATTGGATCGTCATCTCTCATCACGTGGGAGAGCTCAGTTCACCAAAACTTCAGTGTGTCCCCACCTTTATCCCACCTGGGGAGATGCAGCACCACATGGGCCTGATATCCGGCACCAAAGGAGCTTAAATCCCCACAGAACTCAGAGTCATACATTTTCAGATAGTCTGAACATTTTATTTGGTGGGAACATTTAAAAAATTGTCTCTTTGAGTATAGGTGACCCACAACATTATATCAGTTTCCCATGTATCACAGTGATTCATCAACTCTGTACATTATAGGTGGAGCTGCCATCAATCACCACGCAATGCTGTTGCAATACCATCAACTCTGTTCCCTGTACTGGACCTTTTATTCCCATTGGTGGGAATATCTTAATATTGTTAAGCTTTCCCAGGATACATAGATAATACTAGCTTATTGTAGCAAGTTGAAAATTGAGAAGGTACCCCCAAATCTGCCAGACTTCTGTCTGCCTAGAACCGCATCTAGACATACAGATATGTAGATGGGTGACTTCATGGGCGTGCAATCATACATACGTGTTGTTTTGCAGCTGTTTGGGGTTTTTTTCATACCTAATATAAACTTTTTCTAGGTTAGTGCCTGACATCCTTTTTAATGGCTACCTAATATATTGCATCGTGTAGGTAAATGTTTTCTTTAACTTTCCCCCACAGCATTTAAGTCGTCTCCACTTTTCCCCCTCTTCTTAATATGTTCGTACACTCATCTGATTATCCCCTTAGCATAAGCTCTCATATGTCATACAGCTTCGAGAGAGGGTGTGTCATTTTAGATTTTGATATATTTGTGCGAGTGTGTTCTCAGCCCAGTTGGGACAGACATCCACGCTCACCCGCACTGTATAAAAGCGCCTGTACTTCCTCGCACTGCAGGGAAATCCTAAATGTCAATGCCAAGCTTCCGTAACTGCGCAGGGTTATGCAATGACTCTCACTTGTAGCCCCATGTGAATCAGTGTGGCCACATAACCCACATTTGTGTCTACCACCCTTCGTGTTGAAATCTAGAATTGAGGACTCTTTAGAGCTGCAAATAACTGTAAAAAATCCAGTCCTTTAATCCGATAGGTAAGGAAATTATGGCTCAGCGTGGCCATTCCAACAAGCAGCAATGCACACGGGACGTCCAGTCCTTTGTCCCCGCACCCTTCAGGGTCCCTGTCACCCCCCCACCATGCCTTTCTGCCTCCTAGCTTGTGCAGAGATTCCTGCTGTGCTGGAACACTGAGGCAGGAGCAAGCTTGCACTCCCCGGCGCCAGGGCCGGCCCCAGGCTGCCCGGGACCACCAGAGCAGGAGGCCGCATTGCTTCTCCCTGGCCCCCTGGCCGGTCCGCAGGCAGCACCTTTCCTCTCTGGCAATGCCCCTTGTGTAGCGCTCCTTCCACGCTCCCTGCTTCCCACCTCCCTCTCCTCCCTGTCACTTCACGACGCTGTTTCCAGTGATGACTCTTCACTCCTCTGCTGTCACCTCTTCACAATCAGTGCTTATCTGTTAAGGCTTAGTTATTCTTCAGAATCCTGACGCCACATTTCCGGCCCCTGCCTGGTTGCCTTAGCTCAAGGTTTCTCAACCTGAGAACTACTGATATCGTAAGATGGATGATTCTTTGTTGAGGGGGAGGGGTGGGGGCTGTCCTGTGCATTGTAGGATGTGTAGCCGCAGCCTTGGACTCTGCTCACTAGATGCCAGTAACACCCACTTAGTTTTAACAGCCAAAATTATCTCCAGACATTGCACATGTCCCCCAGGGACAAAACTGCTCCTGCTTGAGAACCACTGCCTTAGCTAGACACGACATCATTCTTCCTCCCCCTCCCCCCAACTAAAACGGGTTGACCAGATGCCACGAGATGCTAACACAACTTTTTTTTTTTTTTTAATTTGAGAGAGAGAGCACGCTCACACACAAGCAGGGAAGAGGGGCAGAGAGAGAGGGAGAGAATTTTTTTTTTTTTTTAGTTTTTATTTCTCTATTTTAAGAGAGGCAGAGTGGGGGCTAGGGGGGAGAGAATCCCAAGGAGGCTTCATGCTCAGCGCAGAGCCTCATGTGGGATCAATCCCATGACCCTGGGTTCATGACCTGAGCCAAAATCCAGAGTCAGATATTCAACCCACTGAGCCACCCAGGCACCCACTAGCACAACTTTCTGATGACTAAGGGCAAGGAGACTGAGGGAAAGGAGCAAGGGGGCATGGTGCTCTAGGCTGCTTTGCCCGTCCCTTCCTTAGTTCAGGCGACCTCAAATCCTCAGGCACAGCAGTCCTGCGACAGAGTTGATGTAGAAGGTGAACCTCTATGCTATCCCTGCTCAGACTAGCACGCACATGTTCACTGGTACAGGACTAGGGTAGACCTGAGTGGGGGGAAAGCTTCTTTGACGTAGCTTTTTTGGCTTTACTTGTTAAAGACTTCAGGGCATCTAGCAGCATTGTGTCCACAAAAGCAGGTGTGGCACATAATTGATATTCAATAGATTGAATAAACACATGATTGGGAGTATTTATTACTCTATAAGGAGGGAGGAAAACTCATGAATATTTTCCACTCAAGGTCAGAAAGGAAAAAGCCCCCTGGCTTATTATACATGTCTTGCCTCCCCAGGTGTGACCTATCAGAAACATGGCAACCAGCGCCGTCCCCAGTGACAACCTCCCCACTTACAAGCTGGTGGTGGTGGGAGATGGGGGTGTGGGCAAGAGCGCCCTCACCATCCAGTTTTTCCAGAAGATCTTTGTGCCTGACTATGACCCCACCATTGAAGACTCCTACCTGAAACATACGGAGATTGACAATCAATGGGCCATCCTGGACGGTGAGACGTGGATGGCAGCCCTGCATGGGGGCGGGGCACATGAGGCAGAGGGTCAGGGGAAGTTGACCAGCTTCCCTGGGGTGGATGGTATCTTTCATGTTGTCATTATGGGATGGTTGGTATCAGGCCATGTATGTTTTCCAGGGTGAGTTCTGAACAGCTTTGTGGCAGTCACAATGTGTATACAACAAAGAGGCAAGGCTAGCATCATGCCAACTCACTGATGTCATGTTTGTTATTTCTTGCTGATCTGAAGCTCTGATTAGCATTTACAGATGTCTCTGGCTAATAAAAAAAATATGGGAAACAAATTATTTTTTAGTGAGCATAGTTTATTTTTCTTTGAGGGCAAAATCTTGCATTTGCCATTGTTTCTAGTTTAGTCTAAATTGGCCTAGAATAGCAATTCTCAAGATGTGGGTATCCAGGCCAGCAGCCTAGGATTACCAGGGAGCTTCTCAAAAATGAAAACCCTCAGGCTCTACAGATCCAGAAATTCTGAGGGTGGAGCCCAGCAATCTGTGTTTTAACAAACCCTCCAGGTGATGCTAAAGTAGAGATCCGCTGCTCTAGGTTCTTCCTGGTTATGGCTTTGTACTGAGTCTCTCTTTTAAACAAAGAGCCAGTAAGGATAGACTGTAATTGTACAAGGGGAACTTTGAAAACCACTGGGTTGCACTATCAGATATGTGATTTGCAGGTATTTTCTTCCAATCTGTGGCATGCTTTTCATTCTCTTAACAGTGTCATTGAAAGACCGGAGCTTTTAATTTTGAGGAAGTCCAGTTTATCAGCTTGTTTTTTATGGATTGTGCTTCTGGTCATGTCTAAAATATTTGCCTAGCCCAAAGTCACAAAGGTTTTCTTCCAATGTTTTCTTCTAGCAGTTTAATGGCTTTAGGTTCTGTATTTAGGTTTATGATCTACTTTGACTTAATTTTTGTACATGATATGAGGTATGGAACAAAAGTTTTTTGGGGAGGGTTGGGGTATGATTTTTTGGGGTTTTTTGGTATATGGAGATGCAGCTGTTCCAGCGCTGTTTGTTGAAAAGTTTCTCCTTTCACCACCGAATTGCCTTTGTGCCTTTGATGAAAATTAGTTGCCCATATATTCTGCTTGTTTGGCCTATCTGTTTATCTTAGCACCAATACCACACTATCTTGATAACTGTAGCCTTATAACAAGTCTTAAAATTATGAATTGTTAAGTCCTCAAGTTTGTTCTTTTTTTGAAGTTGCTTTGTCCACTCTAGGTCCTTTGCATTTCCATATGAATTTAAGAACCAGTTAAACTCTAAACTTGGAGATTTTGATTGAGATTTTGTTGAATCTGTAGATCTTCAGATTTGAGAAGAATTGACATCCTACTAATGTTGAACCTTTCAACCCATGAATGCAGTATTTCTCCACTTATTTAAGTCTTCTTTATTTTTCATTAGAGAGAGAGTGTGTGTGAGCAGGGGAGAGGGGTAGATGGGGAGAGAGAAAGAATCCCAGGCAGGCTCCATGCTGAGCATGGAACCCAACTCGGGCTCGTTCCCATGACCCAGGGATCATGACCTGAGCCAAAATCAAGCGTCAGACACTCAGGCTCAATTGACTGGGCCATCCAGACACCCCTAGGTCTTCTTTAACTCTTACATCAATTGTTTTACAGATTCAGTAGCATAGGTCTTTTGCATATTTTGTCAGATTTATATCTACAATCTGTATTATAAATCATATTTTTTATTTCAGTTTCCAGTTGTTTGTTGCTAATATGTAGTAATGCAGTTGCATTATGTATATTAACTGTAACCTGCACCCTTGCTAAACTCACTTATTAGTTCTGGTGGCTTTTTTGTAAATTCTTTTGGGCTTTCTGCAGAGATGGTCATGTCTGTGAGTAAAGATGGTTTTACTTCTGCCTTTCCAAACTGGATGGCTTCTGTTTCTTTTCTGTGCCTTATTTCACTGACTAAAGACATACTTGTCCTGTTCTTGATCTTAAGGAGAAAGCTTTCAGTCTTTCAGCAATAAATACGATGTTAGCTATAGGTTTTTTATCCATTCCCTGTATCAGGTTGAGGAACTTCCTATTACTAATTTCCTGAGAATTTTTATGACGTGTGGTATTGGATTTTGTCAAATGCTTTTCTGTGTCTACTGAGATACTCATATGGTATTTCCTTTTTAGTGTGTCAGTATGGCAAATTATGTTAATTTTTCTAATGTTAAACCAACATTGTATCCCTGGGATAAATCCTACTTGGTCATGATGCATTATCCTTTTAATATTGCTGGCTTTGATTTGCTAAAATTTTGTTTAGAATTTTTGTATGTATGTTCTTGAGAGCTCTATTGGTCTGCAGTTTCCTTACCATGCCTAGTAATGCTGGCTTTATAGAATGAATTGAGAAATATGCTCTCTTCTTCAATTTTCTGGAAGGGTTTGAACAAAATTGGTATTATTTCTTCCTTAACTATTCAGTAGAATACACCGATGAGGCACTCTGGGGCTGGAATTTTCTTTGTTGGAAGATTTTAAACTACAAATTCAATTCCTTTAATAAATGTAGAGCTATTCAGATTATTTGTTTCTTCTGTGAGTTTTGGTAGTGTGTGTCTTTAAAAAAGCTGTTCATTTCGTCAGAGTTATTAAATTTATTGGCGTAAAGTTGTTCACGATACTCTCTTATTTTCTTGTTAATATCAGTAGAATCCATAGTGATGTTTCCTCTCTCATTCCTGGTGTTTTTCATTTGTGTCTTCTCCTTTTTCCCTAAGCAGACAGTCTAGAGATTTATCAGTATCATTGATTTTCACAAAAAAACAACTCTTGAGGCCATTGACTTTTCCCATTTGGTTCCATTGATTTTCACTCTTAGCTTTATTATTTCCTTTTGTCTGACTACTTTGGATTTAATTTGTTTTTTCTTTGACTTTTTAAAGTGGAAGCTGATGTGATTGATTTGAACATTTCTTCTTTTCTGAGATCTTCATTTGGTGCTATAAATTCCCCGAAACTACTTGTCATCCTACATATTCTAAAACCCTCTGTTTTCATTTTCATTCAGTTCAGAATACTTTCCAATTTCCCTTCTGAGATCTTATTTGACCCATAGGTTATTTAGAAATATTTAGTTTTCAAGTATTTTGGAATTTTCCAGAGATCCTTTTGTTACTGGTTTCTATTTTAATTTCACTGTGTCAGAGAACATAAAGTATAATATTTAAATTATTTTAAATCTGTTGAGGCTTATTTTATGACCCAGGATATGTTCTCTCTGGTAAATGTTCCATGTACAAATGAAAAGAGTGAGTATTCTGCCATTGTTGGGTGGAACATTCCATGAATGTCTGTTATGTTGTTTGGTCTTGGTTGTTTCAAGTGAGAAGATAAATCTGGTCCTTGTTACTCCATCTTGGCTGGAACCAGAACTGAATCATTCTTTCTTTCTTTCTTTCTTTTAATTTTTAAAGTTTATTTATTGATTTTGAGAGAGAGAGAGAGTTTGTGTAAGCAGGTACAGGCAGGGTAGGGGCAGAGAGAGGGAGACAGAGGATCCCAAACAGCTACATGCTGTCAGCACAGAGCTTGATGTGGGTCTTGAAGTCATGAACTGTGAGATCATAACCTGAGCCAAACCAAGAGTTGGACATTTAACTGACTGAGCCACCTAGGCACCCCATGAATCCTTACTTAAAAAAAAGTGACAGCTTTGTGTATATACTGAATTGTGTATTTTAAGAAGGGCGAATATTATGGTATTTGAATTATATTGTAGTTTTAAAAACTACCATCCTTCAGGGCTTTGGCTGTAGTCCTGAAACTGAATAGTTCACCAGGAACCAAACACATTCCCATCTCTGGGATTTTGCATTTGGTATTCTCTCTGTCTAGAATGTTCTTTCAGAAATACATTCTCACTTCGTGTAGGTCTCCACTTAAATGTTAAGTTTATCTAAGAAGTCTTTCCTGACCAAACCATCTGTACTAGTACCCACCCCACCCCTTGTCATTCTGTCCCCTTGATTAACTCTTTTTCTTTATTCTACCTTTTACTGTTAAACATGTATTTGTTCAATATATTTATTTGAGTTTTTGTTGTTTCCTGATAAAATATGAAGTTTTGAGAGCGAGACTTTCTTTTATTTACTGCTGTATTTTCAGTTCTAAACTACTGCTTGGCTCATAGTATGTCCTCAGTACATGTGTGTGAAATGAATGTATGAATAAGTCCTAGACAATATATGTGCAGTCACAGGCATGAAGTGCTAACTATGTTATATAATAAATATATATGACCTCTAAAATTTAAAACTTGCACTTATGTACTTTCTAAAAATCATCTCCATGCATCACCCATTCGAATATATGCCATATTTTGGGATATACTGAGTTAAAGAAATATAAACTGTTTCTTTCCTGTGGGACTTAAGAGAATCTTCAATATACAAACATAACATTGGAAATATATTGGTAGGATAGGTTGTCCTTAGGGTTTCCCAGAGAACTGCTGTTAGCACATCATTCTGGACTCTTTTCACAGAAAACATCCTGAAAAACATTGCATAATGCGTGTGAGAGAGTAACACCATTGCCTGGTGCATAATTGGGACTTAATGAACATTAGTTCTCTATACAGCCATATTGACTTCCCTAACTTTTTCTTTTTCGTAAAGTAGCTTTGGGTATTAGATTCATTTCTGGGGGAAAAATGTTCCCAAGGGTGAGTTTTAGGAAGATGTTGTGATAATGCTTATAGCAGCAGCAGCAGCAGCAGAGAAAAGGGAAGCATGGCCACAGCACTGCTTTATAAGCAGGAATTTGCAAAGCTTGTGTTCTGTAGCTCCTGGGCTCCCCTGGGATGCTGTGCCTCTCAACCTGCCCCCTGAATCCAGCCTAACGCGGGGCATTGCCCACCCAGGGTGTCCTCAGGCACAGATACTAGATTACTACATTTCTCCACTCAGTTAGGTCTCATATTAAAAAAACAAAGGCGGGGTGCCTGGGTG